TGGGTAGGCAAGAACAAGGCAGAATAAAACCCATTACGCAACATGGAAATCGAGGTAGAAAAGGACTGGGTTTTATTTATGGGCCGTTGAGGCTTCACGACCCATACCATGGAAAACAGAGGAGCCATTATGGGTCTCTCAATGGCCTCTATCCTCTGAAAAATTAGAGGCTGTCACAAGATTAGTGCAAGAACAGGAACGGCTGGGGCATCTAGAGCCTTCTACCTCCCCATGGAATACACCAATTTTTGTTATTAAGAAGAAATCTGGGAAGTGGAGATTACTCCATGACCTGCGGGCCATTAACAATCAGATGCATCTTTTTGGCCCTGTTCAAAGAGGACTTTCTTTGCTTTCTGCACTCCCTCAAGATTGGAAGCTTATTATTATAGATATTAAGGATTGTTTCTTCTCTATTCCACTTTACCCACGAGATAGACCAAGGTTTGCCTTCACTATCCCTTCTCTTAATCATATGGAACCAGACAAGAGATTTCAGTGGAAGGTACTGCCGCAAGGCATGGCCAATAGCCCAACAATATGTCAGCTGTATGTGCAGGAGGCTTTGGAGCCAATTAGGAAGCAATTTACATCTTTAATCATGATCCATTATATGGACGATATTCTTATTTGTCACAAAGAGTTAGATGTTTTACAAAAGGCTTTTCCCATGCTGGTGGCTGAATTAAAACAGTGGGGATTAGAGATTGCCTCAGAAAAGGTTCAAATTGCAGATACAGGGCTCTTTTTGGGCTCAATGATTACTCCCAAAAATATAGTTCCTCAGAAAATAGAAATTCGCAAAGACCACTTACAAACATTAAATGATTTTCAGAAACTTCTGGGAGATATAAATTGGTTGAGGCCCTTTTTAAAAATTCCATCTGCTGATCTAAAACCCCTCTTCGATCTCCTGGAGGGTGAGCCTCATATCTCCTCACCCAGAAAATTTACCCCTGCTGCCCACCGAGCCTTACAGATGGTGGAAGAGGCCTTACAGGAAGCACAATTACAACGTATTGAGGAGTCACTACCTTTTAATCTGTGTGTTTTTAAGACAGCTCAATTGCCAACTGCAGTCCTGTGGCAACATGGACCATTACTTTGGATTCATCCAAATGCTTCCCCTGCTAAGATTATTGACTGGTACCCTGATGCTGTTGCACAGCTCGCGCTTCGCGGAATAAAAGCAGCTGTTACGCATTTTGGCAGGGATCCTGATTCCTTGATTGTGCCTTATACTGCTGCACAAGTTCAGACCTTGGCAGCCACATCTAGTGATTGGGCAGTTATAGTTACTTCCTTTTCAGGACAAATTGATAATCATTTTCCAAAGCATCCAATTTTACAGTTTGCCCTAAACCAGGCTATAGTGTTTCCACAAGTGACAGCTAAAGACCCACTCCCAGATGGGACTGTGGTGTACACTGATGGATCGAAAACTGGTATGGGAGCTTATGTGGTCAAGGATAGGGTTATATCTAAACAATATAATGAAACTTCACCTCAAGTTGTAGAATGTCTGATAGTACTAGAGGTTCTTGAGGCTTTTCCAGGACCCCTCAATATTGTATCAGATTCCTCTTATGTGGTTAATGCAGTTAATCTCCTTGAGATAGCTGGAATAATAAGATCCTCCAGCAGAGTTGCTAACATCTTTCAGAAGATACAAGCTGCCTTGTTAAATAGGAGATTTCCTGTTTTCATTACCCATGTCCGAGCACATTCTGGACTCCCAGGTCCCATGTCCTTAGGGAATGACTTAGCGGACAAGGCTACAAAGCTGGTGGCCGCTGCCTTGTCTACCCACGCACAAGCAGCAAAAGAGTTCCATCAGCGCTTTCATGTGACGGCTGAGACCTTGCGCCGTCGTTTTGCTCTATCCAGGAAAGAGGCTAGGGAAATTGTTACTCAATGCCAGAATTGCTGCGAATTCTTACCTGCTCCCCACGTGGGAATAAACCCACGTGACATTAGACCATTGCAGATGTGGCAGATGGATGTTACTCATATTCCCTCTTTTAGAAGGCTTCAATATGTTCATGTTTCTGTTGACACCTGTTCTGGCGTAATGTTTGCCACGCCCCTAACAGGAGAAAAGGCCTCATATGTGATTCAACATTGCCTTGAGGCCTGGAGTGCTTGGGGAAACCCCAGAATTTTAAAAACAGACAATGGACCAGCATATACCTCTCAAAAATTCCGACAGTTTTGTCGGCAAATGGATGTTACCCATCTAACTGGCCTACCTTATAACCCTCAAGGACAGGGCATTGTGGAACGTGCCCATCGTACACTCAAATCATATCTGATTAAACAAAAGGGGAGTATTGAGGATGTTCTACCCTCGGTACCAAGAGTTGCTGTGTCCATGGCACTTTTTACCCTTAATTTCTTGAACTCTGATGCCCAAGGCCACACTGCGGCCGATCGCCACAGTTTAGAGCCTGATAGGCCAAAAGAATTTGTAAAATGGAAAGATGTGCTAACTAATGAATGGAAAGGCCCGGATCCTATTCTTATAAGATCCAGGGGAGCTGTGTGTGTTTTTCCACAGGAGGAAGAAAACCCCCTGTGGATCCCTGAAAGACTCACTCGAAGAGCTCCTTCACAACTCCAGAATAAGAAGGATGGAGGCCAAGTGGGTGATGAAGACTCTCCTACTCGGGATGATGGTTCCTAGTATGATGGGAGAGTTACGGTGGGCCATCATGTCTACCTTCCCCTACCGATGCCAGTGATGCATAATGCCCAGGAGTTCCCTAGATTTTTCACAACTAATAGAGAGTTGGGGCTTGCCTTTTTGCCTTTAGATCCTCAGATACAGAGTTTTCAGGATGAGAGAATCTTGTCATTGGTAGGAAGCTTGTGCTTTACTGTGATTTCTTCATTAAAGGATAATTTTATTCATATGGATCCAGAAAGATCTAATGCTAATCCTTTTGAATTAATGGAAGCTGTACTGATTTTTCTCCTATGGCAATGATTGCTGGAGGATATAGTGAGAAGGGACAGATTACTTTTGATTGGAAAGGGGCATTAGGCAACAGTCTGAGTGAGGGACAGAGCTCTGGATCATCTGATTGGTCCTCCTCCAATGTTAAGTATACCCCTTTTAAGAGAACTAATTATTCAGCTGCTCCAATTTGTGTTTGGCTGCCCTTTATTTGGGTTGTGAGTAATGATACCTTAGGTAAGAATCAGAAAGAAATAAATTGCTCTGCTTAGAATTGTTTTTATGCATTATGCTGGGATGCTATTAAGCACCCTTTTGCTTTGGTAATGCGCATGCCTCGATTTGTTCCAGTTCCTGTTGAGGTACCAAGTAGTTTGAGTTTGTTTAGGGAAAAGCGAGATTTTTGGGATCTCTGCTATTATTGTGGGCCTGATAGCTGCCGCCGCGGTTACTACTTCAGTTACCGCCTCGGCCCTTGCACTTTCCGCCACTGTGCAGACAACTCAAACCATTAATGAACTATCGGCCACTGTGACCATGGCCCTAGATAAACAGGCCACTGCCAATTCTCAGATACAAGGAGGCCTGATGTTGGTAAACCAACAGATTAATTTGGTTCAGGAACAATTGGATATATTGTGGCAGATGGCCCAATTGGGATGTGAACAAAAGTTGCCTGGCCTTTGTGTTCACTTCAGTACAATATGAGAATTTTACAAGAGCAGCTAACCTGTCAAAAGCTCTGTCTCAACATTTATTACAGAATTGGACTTTTGAGTTTGAGCAGACACTCCGTGAGTTGAGAGTGGCGATCCTGCAAGTGAATTCGACGCATCTGGATCTTTCTCTGATGGAAGGCCTCTCCTCCTGGATTTCATCTGCATTTTCTTATTTTAAGGAATGGGAGAGGGTGGGATCATTTAGCCTAGTTCTCTGCTGTGGAATAGTGTTGATGCTTTGGATGGTGTGTAAGCTCAGAGCCCAAACAAAAGAGACAAAGTGGTGGTGGCACAAGCACTTGCTGCCTTAGAACACGGAGCCTCCCCTGACATTTGGTTAACCATGTTAAAGCAATAGGTCGCTGGCCTCCCGGCTCTTGCACCCCATGAGGCTAGTCTCATTGCATGGGATAGAGTGGGTAGGCTTCAGCAGCCCAAGGAGTTGCAAGGCTAAGCACTGCACAGGAGAGGTCTGCGGTATAACGACTTTCTCCTGGGAGATAAGTCATCTTGCATGAAGGTTCTATGTCATGATCTCCTTCCCCCAGAAAAATGACATCGGGACTGGTCAGGGCTCCCTCTGGGGATAAGACCCTGGAGAGGAGCTTTGTACATGTTCCAAATTTGCACATGGGGATTTGACCTCTATCTCCACTCCGAAGTTGTGGGTGTCCTATGGCTTCAAAAATAAATGAATAGGGGGAGATGTGAGGAGCCGCCCTCGCTATCGCTATCGCCATTAGAAGATGGCGCTGACATCTGCTGTCAGTTGGAGTTTACCGTTTAAGCTGTGCCTCACCCGTCATCTGGGGTGATGAGCAAACCACCAATCCCGGCTCTACACGTCTCACTCGGAGCTCCTAGGCTTATATAAGGGGCTGGGTTTCTTAGCTTGGGGTCTCCCTCTCAGAAGCTGATCATCTATCTCTCAAGATGCATTAAAGCTTTACTGCAGAAGGATCCGAGTGTCCTGCGTCGTTCTTGCTGGCGAGACGGTAGCGCGGGACAAGGCTAAGCACACTCGAGGATCCCATGTGAGTCAGAGGGAGGAAACGGAATATCCATGACACAAAGGTGAAGGACCTAGGCCGATGGGGTTCTTATGCTTTTGGTTTCAGATCAGAAAGCTATAAAAATTGCTGAGAGTTGGCGATTTGGGGTAAGTTCACCACATGAGAAGAACTGTACCTTAGGAAAAATGAAGTTTTTTAGTCACTTAAAAAAATGTTACTCTAAATCCTTACACTCTGAGTGTGTTTGGGAGCTAAGCAAGGCCAGGGATGGCTTCTCTTTAATCCTTCTCATCCTCTACTCTAGTGACCTCATGATGGGCTAGTTCTATTTTAAAATCTTTAGTGGGATGAGGTAGTTAACAGGTTCAGGTGATAGACTTCTCATAAAAACTCCCTCACACTAAAAGGCAAATAAATACTGCCAAATGAGGCTTAGAGCTCTTGGCTGTAAAAGAAAGAGGATACTGTGGATCTTGCGTGGGAATGGGACCTCTGATGCTGCTCGGAAGTCTTCAGAATAGAGCTGAGCCTGGGAAAGGAGGACCACAGGGTCATCTTTCTCTTTACATGGAGCTCTGCTAGGTCTGTCTGATTGCCTTTGGGTTCTGCTCCTTGGAAGGTTTACCTCTGTTCCTGAGAGCTAGGAGTGTATCCTAAGCAACCTTCCTCTAGACGTGGCTGGACCTCGGGAGTGCAGCCTGGCTTCCACCCCTTCCTCCAGCCTGGATGTAGCATCCTTTGAAGTTGAGGTAGGCAAAGGATGCCAGAAGGAAGCAAATAGACAATGTACTTCCACTGCCTTGTGGTTTTGCTTGGGATGCTGGGCTTGCTTTACTCCCCTAACAGGTGAAACTGAGAAGCAGGGGGCTGTGGCTCCCTGGGGTGTAGCATGAGCTTTGGAGGAGCATCATGCCCGCTCTGGTTTGTTTGTATGTTTGTTTTGAACATTCACTACCTTGAGTCTGTTTTTCTGTCTTGACTGAGAGTGAAATGCTAATCTATTGCTTCATCTTGTCTCCCTCAGGATTTCATTTTTGTTAATGCTTCTCAGCAGGTAAGTTAACATTTCCTACCACATTTAGGCTTTTTTTATTTTAAAGAGAAAATTGTCTAAAGCATATGTCTTATATCTCAAATGACTTAAGTCCAAGGGATTTCCTTTCCCTGGTTGTCCATCCAGGACCCTGTATCCAGAATGTTCCTAAGGGAAACTGTTTTGTTTCTGGCTAGTATCTTGTTGAGAATGGCAAGCACTCCATCACCTTCTCCCCAGCAGTAGAGACTGAGCCTCGGGTGCACATGAGGTTGGCCGGCGCTCTACCGCTGACCTCCATCCCCAGTTCCCTCTTCAACCTTTTATTTTGAGACAGGCTCTTACTAAGTTGACCGGCTGACCTTGAATTTGCTCTTTGGTCTAGGCAGACTTTTTTTTGTTTTTGTTTTTGTTTTTGTTTTTGTTTTTGTTTTTACGAGACAGGGTTTCTCTGTATTGTTTCGGAGGCTATCGGTCCAGCCCGGCCTCGAACGCACATAGATCTGCCTGCCTCTGCCTCCCGAGTGCTGGGATTAAAGGCATGCCCCACCACCGCCCTAGGCAGACTTTTAAGCAGCTATCCTCCTGCCTCAGCATCCCACATCCCTGTGATTATAAGTTCGGGAAACCTCTTGCACCTCCTCTTAGTACATGCTTTTAGAGGACAGGGAGTAACATTCTCAGAGCAGTAGCACTCCTTCCTAACTTTAGGACAACCCAGGTACAGTACCCTTAGACAGCTGGGCGTGACTATGGTATCCTAGCACTCATTCTGATTTCCACCCCACTGTATCTCTCTGCTGCCTTTCCTCTCTCCTATGCTGAGGGTGTAGTAGTGTGTATAGTGCTTTGGCTCCTGCTAATTTGGGGAAAAGGTTTCTTTTTTTTCTTTTTTGTTTTTGTTTTTGTTTTTCAAGACAGGGTTTCTCTGTATTGTTTTGGAGCCTGCCCTGGAACTTGCTCTGTAGACCAGAGCTGGCCTTGAACTCACATAGATCCACCTGCCTCTGCCTCCCAAGTGCTGGGATTAAAGGCATATGCCACCAACGCCCGGCAGGGAAAAGGTTTCTTGAAGATGGAGGTCTCTGTTCTGCCTGGTCCCACAGCCAATTAACTCCAAACACACACACACACACACACACAAAGACTTTAAAAAATATTTTAAGGTGTGTTTTCTGGATTTTCCCTTTTGAACCAACCTTGGACCCAAACCCAGATGTAACTGTAGAGCAGAAACCCTGGATCCTTGGCACCAGCTTCTCATTGCATTGTTTCTGTTCTCTTTTGTCATTATCTTCGTCTTTGAATATATTTGTGAAAGTGACCTGAAATCCTCTTTTGGAACAAGGCCCATGGTGTGACTTAATGTGGACATCCAGGAGTTAGATGCCTCAGAGCAAATGGCCTGAAAATGACTGATGGAGACACGGCAGGTGGTGTGCTATTAGAAGGATGACATCACTGAAAAAAACCAGACCCAGGCTCTTCCAGTTATTTGGTCACAAGCAAGAGAAACTCAAGACTACTTTCAGAAAACTTGCCAGTAGGACAATATGCTTAAAATTCCAAACTGATGGAAGCTGTCTTTCATTATGGGGATGTGTTGTGTGACTCTAACCACTTTGTGCCTATCTCAATAATGTTTTCATTACTTGCAATTAAACTCTTAATTTGCTTCTGACCAATAGAATATTTGTTGGTTTTATTCAGAGATCAAAAGCCAATGCCTTGTGTGATAATTTCTATTGGGAGTTAAGAAGTAGTATGGCATGATCCCATTTCACAAAGCTCTGGTGTGTGTGTGTGTGTGTGTGTGTGTGTGTGTGTGTGCGCGCGCGCACGCGCTCATGTGTATAGTATGTGTGCTATGTGTGTATGTCAAGCCATGGAGAACATGTGGAGGTCAGAGGACACCTGTTGGGAGTTGGTTCTTTCCTTCTACCATAACTCTTTCTGGGACTTGAACTCAGGTTATCAGGCACTAGGCCCCTTTACCCATGTAGTCAACTCTCTGGCTTACTCCTGTCCTTTGTACACACACAGCTTCTGGGGTACTGAGTTCTGACTTTGTGAAGCCAAAACTGATCGAGCATCTATCTCCCCAGCCTATTTTCTATTTTTCTCAAAGTTATATATCACCACTTGTAGACCAGGAGAAAGAAAATCTAAATAATAATATAAAGAGAAATAATAAAACATAGGAAAATTGTTTTAATTGATCCCCCTGTTACTATATATCAATATACTTTTGTTGGTTATGTAAGTTGTTTCAGGTATACACTTTTGCTTTATGAGTATTTTTCCTAATTTCTAAACAGAGTCAACTATAAGAGTCAAAACAAAATACTTCAGATGCATAGAAATCTACATAGTTGCCCTATAATGTATATATATATACATATATATGTATATATATAAAATCATGATTAATATGTAGTTATATTATCTCAAAAGTTACTAGCACAAGAAACTCAATGTGCTCACCCATTTCTTGAAAGTATTATATCTAATAATTGCTCTGTTGAACTAGTTGTGTTTAAAATACATTTTTTTTCAAGACAGGGTTTCTCTGTATTGCTTTGGAAGTTGTCCTAGAACTCACTCTGTTGACCAGGATGGCCTTGAACTCACAGAGATCCACCTGCCTCTGCCTCCCAAGTGCTGGGATTAAAGGCATGAAATTTGAGACATCTTGGCATCACTACTCATGGCTTGATGTGCCAACAGTTTACGAAAGTTCTGGAGTGGGAGGTGAAACTGACGCTTTCATGAGTCCTGAGCTAGCCTGTCTTCTGGGATATGCCTTGTGAAGCGCTACGCCACCCTGATCATTCAGGCAGGAGTAAAACCATGTTCTGCCCATGCTCTATGGCAGAGCAGATACAGTAGCAAGCACACGCAGTTTGGTCAGATAGAAACAGGACCAAAAACAAGCTCTTCTCCTTTTCATTACTTTGTGTGACCAATTAGTGCCTTGTTGTAATGAGGTTGGTGGCGAGGGATGGGACTCTCTTGCTCTGACATTCTAATGCAAGGACAGAAGATGCTATGATCTCGGTTAAAGCTGAATTATCTCTGAAACATCTTTGTGATGTGCCATAAGAAGAAGACACTGGTGGATGGGCCATCACTGTCACTTGACACTCTTGCCTGCAATGGTTGGCAGGATTCCGGGCTGGCATAAAAATCCTCGGCCGCATTCACCACTCTTCTTTTTGAACATCTTGTAATGGCTCTGAGCAGACTTTTTCTCTGCTGTCTAATTCCAGTGCCATAAAAGTCACATAGGATCCACACCAAACTCTGTCTCCATGTTCATGCCAACTAACTGTCCCCAGTAACCATTCAATTTTATCTCAAACAATTCTTGACATTTCTAAAAGTGATGCGCTCCAAATCTGAGCTGCTTGCAGATTTCCAGCCAGACAAGTTATTTTTAGAGATCAAGGGCAGAACAGCCCATCTCTAGCAAGCACTCTGGTTCACTTCCACTGCTCGCCTCTCCTCTTTTCCCATGGGCTGTCCAATCAGGCCTGAGCTGGTCCCAAGAATTCTAGATCCTGGGCCCGTGGTGAATGTAAGAGAGGGCAACTGTGGGCCTTAGGGGACAGTCAACTGGGAAACAGTTGCCTTTTTCCCTGAGAGAGGCACAGTAGTAGCTGCCATTCCTCCTTTATTGGAACCCTGATGTGTCTTGGTGTGTGCGTCTCTGGTCACCAAGTCATATTGCTACCAGCTAGAGGATGAACCCAACCATGGGGAGGAGACAGAGCTAGGGGACAATAAAGTCCTGCATTGATGCTATCATAAGTTATTTGTAGCCAAGTGTCCTAACTAATAGCCAGCACACCCTGAAGTTTATGTAGTTCACTTGTCAACTAGGCACCGAGTTCTAGGAACAGGCTGGCCTATCCCCTCGTTCTAAGAAACACACTTAGGTAATTTCCTCACTCAGGACCGATTAGTAATAGCAAGTGAGAAAGAAACAGGAAGACACGAAGCCAGAAGCTGGAGTTCATAGGGCACCACTGGGGATCAGCTAAGGCTGAGGACAGCAGTCTTTCCCTTCTGTAGTCCTTGTGGGTGTAAGTGCATAGATCAAGGACTAATGCCTGGTGACATCTGTGTGTCATTGAGGAAAGTATGCTTTCTGTCAGTTTTAGACGGGGGATGAGGCTGAATAATGCTTAATAGTATTTCTTTGTAAATAAAGGAGGTTAGATGATTAAGAGGGTAGACTTAGCCCGGTAGTGGTGGTGGCGCACACCTTTAATGCCAGCACTTGGGAGGCAGAGGCAGGCAGATAGATCTCTGTGAGTTTGAGGCCAGCCTGGTCTACAAAGCTATACAGAGAAACCCTGTCTCGAAAGACCAGAGAAAGAGGGAATAAATAGACTTATCTGAAAAGATGCACAGAAAACAAACTCACTTCCTGGAGAAGTTCAATGAGTGCTGTGTACATTATGTGCTGTATTAGAATGTTGCTTCACTCAGAGAAAAGAAGTAGGCAACAGCCTGCTTGCTACAGAAAGCAGCTCATTTCAGAGTCCCCATGAAGAAGCTCAGAGAAGAAGCAAATCTGGGGCATGAGGATGTGTTATGCTTCTGCGAGGCATTGTGCTTTGGTCCAGTGACTTGGCGAAGCAAGGCACCTAAGCCATTTCCTCCAAAGCTGCCAGGAGGAAGAAGCTGCTTGGCTGAGTAGAAGGGAGTTGAAGGCTCCTAATTAAAATGTAAATACTTCCTGCAGCCAACAGCTTGTAGACACACACACACACACACACACACACACACACACACACACACACACAAAAGATTGGAAACATGGTCCACACTAAACCACACAATGCAAAATAGGTTCTAAGTCTGCATAAAACCCGAGCCAATCTGTTGATGTAATCACCTCACTGAGAAATTACTCATACCAAGTCATTTGAAGCCACATGCAGGAAAACAGGTGTCTGCTGTGTCTGCTGAGGGCCCTGATTAACAGGAAGGACTGCTTGTTTACCAAGTGAAGGGGGCCTCAGTGGCTCAAAACGCATAAGGTGTGTGGGAGGCTTTCTGTAATGATCTCACAGGCTGGTCCCACATAGCAGGCTAGGCAGGTAGCTGCGCTGGCCCTGCTTTTCAGCCACCTCACCCAGGTCCTTTGGAGGCTCAAGTCTCCCATGCCCAATAGTGCTGAACCAAATAATATGCAACTTAAGGTAAATATGTAGGGTGACAACTTTTCTAATTATTAATCGTATGTGCTCTACACCAACAGAAAATAAGTACATGATATAATGTCATGAACACCATAAGGGAAACATTTAGACAGTGAAATAATTTTGCTAAACTTGGAAGTTTAGACTATTCAACTAGTGGTCTGCAGTGGCATTTTTCTTCCTTCTCACTAGAGATCTGGTGTCTACCCTGTGTTACTTGTAAATTGTTATTGTCCTTAGTTGATATTTTGTTGGCATTGTCCTAGGTACCACCCACGCTTTGTTTCATTTTACTATCAGAACATTGTGGGTAAAATTATTATTGTCTGTTTTTTGAGATAGGGTCTCACTCTGTAGCCCAGGCTCTTTGTTTATAGCTCAGATTGGCCTTGAACTCATGGCAACCTCTTGCCTCAGCCAAGCTCTGGAATTGCAGGTGACAGCCACTATACCCAATTGTGAATACAGTTATTAAGCTTGTTTACAGACACAGAACATGAAGTTTAGAGATAGTATTTGCTTGAGGATACAGAATAAGGGAATTGCATGGAACACCAGTTAAACAGAGACTCATTCTTAGTTGATTTCCATGGTAAAGCATTAATCTTCTCTGTGGTTCCTGACAAGTAACACTGAGGTCTTCTGTGACTGTCCTCCTGTCCTTTCTCCAAAGGCCTGGAGACCCATCTGCCTTCTGATACGTTGTTTTGAGGAGTCACAAGGCAAGAGTCACTAAGAAAAATGGCTAGATGTTCATGATGTATGTCATTCTTGTCCGGGTTGGAGGAAAAGACAGAGACCTTGTCCTTGAGGCTGTTATAGCATCTCTCTTGAGCTGAGTTAGTCTGGTGCCACAGTGCTTATATATACAAGGTTCTAGATCAACTTTACTTTTTCCTTTGCTGATTCTCCTGATGCTTGCCTTACATCTAGGGAGTCAGTCCTGTTCAGTGATGTTGCAGCATCTAGACCAGATGAAGATGACGTTTGCTGTAAACACAAACGGTATCACACCAGTAGCCTGCTTGGCATGGTGGGTGTGACCTCTTCATTTTCAAACAGAGTTTCTGCATACGCTCCACTTTCTCACTTGATTTCCTCGTTAGCTTCACAAGGAAATGGGCCATTGCTAACCCTTGCAGTGCTGTAGATCTATGTAAATCTATGCTGTAGGTGGTTTGACCTTGATGACGTCCTAATGGGTCCTATCTGCATGACTTTCAGTATGCCTAAGTCCACGTACTCACACTCATGTTTCACAGTTCTATTTTCTACTATTGGAGATGCCCCTCCTTTGTAACATGTATGTTAATATAAAAAATACATATTATAATACATAATTACATGCTTATGCTCTAGTAATAAATGACTGCTTTGGGAAACATTAAATACCAGGAAATCTATGAAGGTTAACTGGAAAGTTTCATGCCAGCTTAGTTTGATCTTTAAAACATTGTCTGGTCAGG